AATTTTAACATAAATGTTTCCATTTCATGCATTGTACCGAATTTAGCCAATGGCTAGTTTTCATCCGCGGTCCCTTGGCAGGTAATCATAATCACAGATAGACATAAGAACAAAATAACAAACACATACAATACAGTAATACTTATACACATTCCATCAGAGCCAAAAAAGAACAGTAAAAATAACGTTCAGTTAAGCCACAACTATATCAGTGTTTACAGATTTGAGTTGCTTTTAAATAAAATTTTAGTTTTAATTTAAACATGTCAATAGATGTGCACATCCTTATGTCTTCTGGTAGAGTGTTCCAGTGAATAATACCTTTCACTGAGAAAGATGATAACCCAAAGGCAGAATGATGAAAAGGAACAACACAATCACTAGTAGATGATGATCTAGTAGATCTTACAGAGACTGTAGAGCTAAAAATGCACAAAATCACGAAGTATAGAAGGGGCTAGCACACAGCTCGGTGGTAAACACCCAAACAGCCATGGTATATGCGTTAGCCCAATGCAGAAACATATTGATCAAGCACTGCAGTTTGTACACCAACGTATTGCTCTATTCCTTATCAGAACTCCAAGTAATAACAATGACAAACATTCACTATTCATCGACCAATTTCTAGACAATCGCGAACGTACAGATATGTGTTGAGGCAAGTTGGAGCTAAACTCTGCAGGACACCGGCCCTCCAGGACCGAGTTTGGACAGCCCTGGGCTAAACCATTTAAAATGTTATATACCATACACAAATTTGAGAAAATTCTAAAATTATCAAAGCTAAAAAAATTTGATTTCTCCAAACCCCTGCAGTGGTGATATTGGTTAGGCTTTTTGTCTAGAGTTTTTAAGGTCTGTTTATAACGAGATTTTAAAGGTTTAATAACAGTTTCCTCTGCTTGACCCCAACATGTCAGACAGTATGTCAGATGAGAAAAGATTGTAGCATGCATAAAAGTCTTGGCTACATCAGTGGGTAGACATTGTCTAATTTGTCTAAAATTGATCAAGTTATATTTTATAGTCCTCACCAATTTCTTTACATGTTTTTTAAAACTAAGATTTGGATCCAGCGTTAAACCAAGATAATTAAACTCAGTAACAATTTCTATCTTTTCACCATTTATAAAAATATCTGCATTGGAAGAACACACATTCATTTTAGAAAAAAACATCCCTTTTGTTTTACCAGTCGACACTTGCGGTCTTGACCACTTGAGAGCGCGTGTGCGCGACAGGAAGTAAGTGCGCAAGACTGTCCCAGGTCTTAAAAATGCCAAAGCGCAGTGCCCTTAAAGCACACTAAACCCACACTATCTCAAATACCGCTCCGGATCGGTATTCACGGGTTACTGTATCCCATCATGCATCATGTTCTGGAAATGAGATCTCGTGAGAGGTCACGACACAAAATAAGGATCTTTAAAAAAGCATCATATGACCCCTTTAACACATTTTTTTTTTTTTAAATAAGGGTGAAGATATCAAATTTCCTAGGCCGGACATCAATTTTGGCCACTACTGTATGGCAGTTCATTGACCTTCCAACTGACCGTCAAACCATGCTGCAAAAACAAGCCACTTTTATGAGGATTGTGGGCCTTCCTGGAGTTGTTGGAGCCATTGATGGAACTCATGTTCACATCATTGATCCAACTGTAAACGAGGAGAAATACCAATAGAATCTAATTTCAAAGCATCAGTAATAATTTGTGATAATTTTGCACAATGCAAAGCATTTTTTAAAAATACATTTAAATATTAAAATATTTCAGTGTCTTAATTAAATGATTTTATTATAGTTACATTAAATGATTGGTGTTTTGCTGCTATGACTTCACATGAGCAGGCTCACAATTGGCTGTTTCAGAGGTCGAGGTCGGCCATTTTGAGTTGACATCATTGTAGTCTTTAGTTCATTAAGGCAAAGCTTAAGACTATTCTTAAGAGCATTTCTGAGAAGTTTTATACATACGGGCCCAGGTACTCAATCCTGTTGGAGAGCTACCTACCTGCAAACTTCAGCTCCAACCGTGATCCAGCACACCTGTCTGTTATTATCAAGAGCTCCTGGACTTTTATGAGGATTGTGGGCTTTCCTGGAGTTGTTGGAGCCATTGATGGAACTCATGTTCACATCATTGATCCAACTGTAAACGAGGAGAAATACCAATAGAATCTAATTTCAAAGCATCAGTAATAATTTGTGATAATTTTGCACAATGCTTGGAGCTAAACTCTGCAGGACACCGGCCCTCCAGGACCGAGTTTGGACAGCCCTGGTTTAAACGAATCAGTTAAGATTGGTCTCCCTCTGGTGGACATTTACATTAAAATCCAACTCTCAAATGTCTGTCATGACATCTATGTGCTTTATTTGTGGACTGCATAATCCTTTGGATGAGATCCTGTTTTAAATGAAGCATAAACAGCTTCTTGTGTTACTGACAAATGACCCAAACCAATAATGACCCTAGATGCATCAAACACACTGGCTTGAAATAAACACAAAAGCACACAAACTAAAGTAATGTTTGCAACATTTTGCACTTTAATATTTGTTTTCTTCAAAACGAACAACTAATTTCTTACACATTTGTACACTATGTATATAAGAAATTAAAAAAAAATGTAAATCGCATAAAGGATACATGTAGAAAAGTATTAAAAATTTTTGGATGTCTCAACAAAATGAGAGTAGCTGCTTTTTGTTACCGTGAATGTTAAATTTGG